TGTTCTGCCTGCCCATATTTACTGCAGGTACTCAGCACATGCTTGGAACTCATTTTGGCCTCTCTAACTGGGCACATTCTTCCCAAAATGCCTCACAAATCTTCATTATTTGAGGGTGGATGTAATGTTTGCAGAGTCAAAAGTCCTAAAAAGCAAGTAATGGTCATTAAAGTGGGCTATCAAGCAGTCAGTGCTACTGCCACGGGCTGAATTGTGTCCCCACTAAATTGTGTCCCCACTAAATGCCCTGTGACCCCCCAACTTGACTAATGTGAGTAGATTTGGAGATAGGCCTTTTAGGGAGTAATTAAGGTTCATTAGGTCACATGGGTGAGGGCATAATGGGAGAGACTTGGTGGTCTTATAAGAAAAGGAAGAGAAAGGCAGTCTCTCAGGGAGAGAGGTCTCAGCAGAACTTGGCCAGGCCAGCCCCCAGTCTCAAACTTCCGGCCTCCAGGATTGTGAGAAATAAATTCTTCTTGTTTAAACCACTCAGCCTTTGGTATTTTGTTATGGCAGTCTGGGCTAATGCAATCATATTTTGGGATAAAAAATGAGACATAACCACAAAGTCGTGAGAATGAGTGATTATCAACTGTGACTTCAAGGACAATTTCCTGAGGGAAGCAGGAGAGTTATTTTGACTATAGGATTCAAAATTGGAAACAGGAGACACAACTTGAAGACTCTTTGTAAGGCCCTATGCTTTTAAATGTTATATCTGCTGCATTTCTCTGGAAAATAAAGCAAGTAAGAAGAAAAGGTTAAAAAATTATTGTGCTATTAATAATATACTATATTTTGTTCATTTTGTTTTTCTGAAACTGTAATTTTAAGGTACAGAGTCAGTATGTGGATACAATAGAATCTCATTTATCTGATGTGATAAAGGTAGTTATCATTTGGCTGATTAAGTTTACTGAAGCAAAAATCATAAGACATATCTATACACACAAACACATAAAATGAATTTTTACATATATGACAATCTTTTAATGTAAGGGCAATGTATTTTAAGTAAGCACTTTAGATTGATGTTGCCTTGGTCTTTTTTTCATAAACCACACCCACATTCATCAACTGTGATTTCCGGTATTTGCTTATTCGATACTGAGCAAAGATGTAGATGCTTGCAAAGCACTTTGACTGCAGAATCCTTTCAGATTTTGACATCTTCTCTCCCCCCAATATTTCATCACTGTCCTACCCACTCCTAATGTCATAGCATATCCTTGGGAATTTCCTCCTGTTCTGAATTTTTGCTGTGATCAACTTTGTTTTCATAGAAACAACTCTTACTTTTAGACATTTATCATAATTCTTTTAATAGGCATACAATTTAATTAAATGTATAATTATAATGATAAGTAGAATTGCCAAGAATATGCTCTAGAAAATAATTGTTACTAAGCATGGGACTCATGCATAGATGTAGAAGTGCTCGATCATATTAGAGTAGCCTGCTAGCCAGGGAATTGCACCATGACATAGACATCTGTCAAGGTTCAAAGGAGGGAATGGAAAGCTTAGCTTTCTCTGTGCATTGTCGAGTAAAAGTTGGTTAAGGGACTTTCTATTGTTCTTGGTCGCGGAAAAAAATATGGATATGTAGTGAATAAAAAGGTGAAATTTCCTTTGTTCTATTCCTTTTCCAGAGACAACACTGTTAGCAGTCTGATATGTATCCTTCCAGAATCTTCCCTGCATTTATCTATACAGGTGCATTGCTTGAGCTATATGATGTGCAGGTACCACACTAAGACCTTGATGTGAAGTATCTTGTTTAATCCTCACAATTCAATGAGATAATACTGCTACTATCTCCATTTTACAGTAAACCAAAGCTGGAAGTGTTTAGTAATTTGCCCTAGGTCACATAGTGACTAATTTGTTCTTCCTTCTCAGACAACTATCTTACTAATGTACATGATTCAAGTTAAATGTTTGGATCCATTCATCTATTTATTCAGTAAACAGTTATTGAATGTCCAGTTTTTGTACATAATACCAGATATTTAAGCACATGGTTTCTGTCTTCAGATACTTGGAAAAGGCAGGTTATTTACTCTGTGAGCTAAAAGATTTATTCCAGTTCACCCAGTTAGTAAGTGATAGCAGGATAATAATTCAGGTTTGCCTTAACAAATTTTTGTATATGACAGGTGCACAGAAACTTTGGTGAATTGTAATTTAGAGGTACCTACTTTGACTGTTATTTTTTCCATGAGAAGATGGGTTTGGACCCCCCAGAAATTAGTGTGCGATGATTAAGATCCAGTTAGTATATTGGAGATTACAAACATAAGCTCTAAAATTCTTCAGTAATATACCTAATCATAAGATATATATGATATATAATGATAGTATATATTTTCAGGCAAACTCTGCTCAACTGTAATCTAAGAGAGATCAGGATAAAACAGGGGTTAGAATCGGAGTTTGGGCCCCTGAGAGGAAGGAACTGTGGTAAGATACACTAAGGAGCTTAATTAGAATGTTGAAACGTGTCAGCTTAAATGAGAACAAGCAGTTGAAAAGAGAATCAGAAATCCAAAAGAGAGAAAATATGGATATTGTATTATCAGGAGATATCATGAAAAAAATAATCATAACATAAACATTGATGAATTGAATCATAATGGCTGGGAAAAAATAAAGGCTACATGTTGAGACAAAAACAAGACCTTACTGCCTGTTTCGTAACACATTCCGAAACAAGGCCAATTTCAACGTACTCTATGGAGGACTGAAGAGAAATGAGCCAAGTGAGCACCTGACCTCCAAGTGCATAAAAGCCAAAAGGTTTTAGAACCAGCTGGCAACGTGTCTAGAACGTAAGGACCATGAGGTTTTCCTCTTAAACACGGTATGGGCTCGAACAGAAGGGAGCACAAAGGAAGCTGTGACTGGAAACCTTACAAGAATGGCTTGTCTTTTTGACCGCAGAAACATTTCAAGAGATAAACACGCAGAAGGTAGATAACGAGAATTAAGTCCTCCCCCCCCACCCATGGGGAAAAGTGGAATTATTTAAAGTGAGGAAGAAAAAGGAAAGTCTTGTGTTTCTTAAATTGTTTGCCAAGAAACTGGAGTCTATGATGGAATTTGGTCCTCACAGCTAAAATGTTTCTTTGGTATTGGAAACAGTGTTCTGTACCCCCACCGGTTTTTTTTTTTTTTAACAGTTAAAAAAAAAAATCCCATGGCAGCTCCTTGGCCCAAGGATTTTAAAAATAGGAGCGATTTCATCAGTCTGGAATGGTCTGTGTCAGCACCTGCCCTAGGCAAGGTTGCCACACAGGGAAATACTCCCCCCTCTCTCTTCCCTGTTAGACACCCCCTTCCACTGTGCTCCCCAGTGACCTTCACTCCCCACTTTCCCCCAGTCCATGGGCTGACCCTACTCCTTGGACCACAGCCCCAATGTGACTTCCCACATAAAATCAAGCCCTTCCCCTCAGCTCTCCCTCCAGGTGTGAGGGAGGCAGTGAGTGGGGTTTGCCTTTGAGACCTATTTGCATTTAAAAATAGGCCTTTGGTTGACCTACATGAATCTTGAATTGGTGGAAGTTGAACAGTGTAACCAAGTGGAGAGAAGTCTGGGGGAGAGGGGAGCACTTGTGGGGGTTGGAGGGGGTTGAGTAGGCCACCTCCCAGGAAGCCATTAAATCCCAGAGGTGGGCTCCCTTCCATGTGGTTCTGCCTTCAGGGAGAGGGCAGGGGGTGGGAGGAAGGTGGCTGGAGACTCCGACCTCTCAAGGTTGCTTTAATTCTATGGGTTGGTGATTTCCAACAACATTTCTGTGCCTGGCTTCCTTGCTGCACCGCAGGCGTCTTGTGACTTGTTTAACTAGGGGTTTTCAGCAGCGTGTCTTTGTGCCTGGCAGCCAGGGCCCAATTTTCCCATCATAGTCCTCCCTGCGACAGCAACCTCAGGTTTAGCCATGGTGGCGGAGAAGAGCCACCCCAGCCATGTGAGCTCACAGAGAGTTCATCAAAGCTCCTGTTCCCTGGGAAGCTTACAGGAATGTTTTGTGCTCTCGGTGTGTGTGGACTTTATGAAGGAAAAAATACGTGTGGCTGTAGGTGAAGAGAGTATACTACAAACAGATTTGGTAGGGGAAAGCTGTACAATAAAGTCTACTCAAGAGGTCACCTGAGTCATTTGGTTAGATTCATGATGGCGGGACAATCACTCAAGACCCTACTGAGTGCCAGGCTCTGAGTTATAGCTGGTGCACGTGCAGAAAAATAAAGCAGGATTCCAGCTGCAGGGAATTCAGTCTGATGGGGGGCAATGAGGTATCCAAGTAACAAGTGCCCAGTGTGAGGGTAGATAGCATTTGGGAGCAGGGAGGTCACTCCATGGCTCAACCTGCTACTGCTGGGATCTGAGAGCCCCTGGATGACTTCAAGCTGAGTGGGAGGACGACAAAGCAAAGAGGGTGTAATAGCAGGGACAGAACAGAGGATTGGAGGCAAGACACTAAGACAAGTATGAGGCAGTAAAGGCAGGCCCCAGCATTAGAAAGGAAAGTGCCACGAAGGGGGAGGGGCGAGATAGGAGCCTGTAGGGACAGTGTCCAGGGAGAAAGCTCAGCCTTCCCAGCTAAAGAGAAAAGACTTTATCCTGAGGGAGCCACTGAGGGATTTGAAGCAGGTCAGATTTGCATCTTGATTAAACTATCTGTCAATTTGAGGAAAATCATTGAAAATGCCTGTGGGGTGAATTGATTAAAGAATTGCACTGAAAGGGTAGATTTGCAGATGTAGCCATAGTTAAGTGCAAAGCTCTTTTTTTTGCCAAGATGGTTTGTCTCAGGCCCCCAAAACAATGCACAGATAGATTCATGTGTTTGTCTGTAAAAGCCAGCTTCGTTTAGACTGATGCAGCTCCACCAGATAGTGCACCCCCATGGCTTCTGCCCTTCATTCCACACAGCAGGCACGTGATCACGTCAGGAACGCAAGCGATGCTATGACCTGTCTGTTTTGTTTAGCAAAAGTCATCCGGGAAGGCGCTGTTTAACCTGAGCTGCAGCCATCTAAACCTTGCTGAAAAGGAATATTTTGGATTAGAGTTCTGTAGCCACGCTGGAAATAATGTAAGTTTGGTTTCATTATAGGGTTCTTTGTGTCTAGAATTGCTTCCAAATGCATTTTGCAGTTAGGTGCCTGGGACTCAAACCCCTGATCGTAAAAATGAAAACCCTTGCAAAATGACTGACCAGACTTACCCTCTGTGTCTATTAAAAGTCACCTCAACTTGCCAAACACAAACGCCTCTACCCCATACTCCTGTTTGTCACCATGTGAACCACTGTCTTTATCCTTCCAGAGGTTGGAGCTCGACCTCCCCCAGTAAGACACCTAACCTCACCAGTGATATTGAGGGGCCTCTCCCCCTCTTGAAAGTCCTGCCTGGGCCTATCTATACTCTGGCACCTCCCCAGGAAGGCCCATGATGTCTACGAAGCTGGCACTTGGGGCAGTAGGAGTCGAATGTGGCGCCAGGTGCCTTGTTTAGTCTTTGAAGCAACTAAAGGGCCTGGTAGGTGATACCTCTGTCATCCTACTGAGGTAGGGGGTGGCAACGCAAATGACAACAAAGCTCATCAGTGTTTGCTGTCAGTGGGAATACAACAGGGGCAGATGGAGTGTGGTGGGGAGGTCATCTTTGACGCTGCTCTTTCTGACTATCTTTAGAAGTCTAACCAGACTGACATTTATTTCATACTGACTTATCTGGTCTCCACCACCTCCCGCTAAGCTGCACTCATGACACATTCTTCCAATATTTCCCATTAATGTTATTACAGGTCTGGTTGGAACTTCTGAAGCCCATTACAAAGCAAGTAAAAAGTAAGTATGGAAAATCATTTAAGGACTCTAGTTCCCAGTTACAACTTGAAAATATTTCAGCAACTCCACACCTATCTATAAGAGGAGGAAAGAGCTTTGATGCATTTTACCATCTATCTGATATCCAGTGAATTTAGTAATTCTAAAATATCACATTAACTCTGCTGGAGATGAAGAAACTTGTGCTGGTGGGGCTTTGGGGAAATTGGAAGAACTACAGGAATATCAGCACCGTGGGGACTGGCACAAGAAGATATGCCCATCACCCCAAATCCTCGCAAGTACTTGCTGGCCACCTGCAACGCCATTCATTTTCTGCCTGAAGATGACTTATCTTTACCAGCTCAATGTGTACTGAGATCACCCAGGGTTCTTGTTAAAATGCCAATTTCCAGCCTCACTCCCGAATTGAGGGAGTATGTTTCACAGATTCCACAGGTGTTTCACTTGCAGGTAGATTTCAGTCAACACCGTGAGAATTGCTGTTCCAGTGTCTCTTCCCCAACCTGCTCATTATATGGTGCTGTTTGCCACATCGGCTGTTCCCGCCATGTAAGGAACATCTGTCACATTATTCCAGGAGCTTCCTAACCAATCCCTCCCCACACCACACTGAATCCATCATCTACACCATTTCCAAAGGAAACTTTCCAAAATGGAATCCTTACTCTCTTGCTTAAAATGCTTCCATAACTGCTTCCTACTGCCCTTAAAGTAAAGCCCAAATTCATTACTGAACATCCCCATAAAGCACTGGGCTCTGCCTTTTCATCCTTATCTCTGTCACTGACTGCTCTATATTCCTCCCACTCCTGACTTTGACAAAACTCCTTGGGTGTAGGCTCCTCAGATAAAATAGAGGATACCCAGCTAAACTGGAGTTTCAGATAAACAAGAATCACTTCTTTGAATAAGTATCCCCATGCTATCATTAATCTGAAATTCCAATTTAACTGGGAGTTTCAGATTTTTACTTGCTCAATCTGGCAATTTAGCCAGGGGTCACCTCCTCTAGGATGACTTCCTCCTTTTTCTGCAAGCTCTTTTCTCCCTTCCTGCTTTCCTAGTACTTGCTGCTTACCACACTTTGTGATGACACAGTCGTCTGACGCAAGTGTCCGTGTCTTCCACAGACTCCCAGCGCTTGCTTTCTTAATCCCAGTACCTGCCATGTACAATGCTTGGCATCAAGTTGGCAACCAACAAATATTTACTGAATGAATGGGGATGCAGCATGTGTGTGTGTTTGGTGCAAAATGTATTATCTTCAAATGCAGCTAGCAGTGAAGGCTAGTAGATGTGTTTTCTTAATTTTGAAATAGGTAAGGTCATCAGTCTGTCCTATTTCTGAAATCCTTGAGCTGTTTGATATTCACCTGCCTCTAAAGCCGAGCCTTTTTCTCAGTCATGAATGCAGACTCCCAGGTAGCAAGTCGCATCTCTTCCTAAATGGGAAACTTCTTGGAAGACAGAGTGGGCCCCAGTGCAGCACATCTTTACAAAAGGGAAAAAGGACTGAAGGTTGGAAGAGGGGTGGGAGGACTTTTGCAATTACTATCTAGAGAAATAGCAACAGCTTGTCCATGGGGAAAAATTTAAATTTACAATAACAGTCTGTGGGAGGGGTGTTGGAAGAGGAGGGAAGAGGAGAAGAGAGGAGAGAGAGAGAAAGAGAAAGACCTGTAACTGTTGTGATGGACATTTAAATAAAACTTATGGAGATATTGTGTTTTAAGATCCTAAGGAAGTTGTTTTCAAATTTATGGTGAAATTTTTCCCAGTGGACCCTGGACATCTGCGTGAAGAACTTACAAGGTAAGTAAGTGCTTACCTATGTGTCTGTTGTTCAGGGTTATGTAAGAAACGTTGCTCTCTGCCTATGAGGAAATGGGCTGCTAGCCATCGGCAAACTTGGATCTTGATCACTCTCTGGGAGATGGAAAGGAGAAAGAAAGAAGGAGGTTCTGGCCTGTCCAAGGCATTCATCTTCCAAAGAGTGGGAACTTCAGGATGAAGAGGGTGGTCGCCTCTCGGGGGTTGTGAAATTACTTACTGTGTCAAGAGGAGCGCTTGCCTGAGTTGCACTGAGTTCGAAACAGAGGGCAGCTTGGCAGCACAGGGGTGTGTCACTGTGTACATGTAGGAAGTGAATCATTCTATCATTCTAATGTGCACTTATACAGCATTGGTAATTTTATTATAATTATGTAACAGTGATACATTTTTAGTAATTTTCTATAAACAAAACTATTTTATCCTTATAACATTTTCTAAGTAAAAAACATAAAACCATTTTAACATTTTTTACACTTATGTCACTGCCCCTAATAATTACAATGGAAACCTAATTTTTTTCAAAAATATGGTCAATATAACACTCCCCCCCAAATCTTTCCTTCTTTCTAGACTTCCAGCCTCTCAGATGAGGAAGGGGTATAAAGATAATTTAGTCCAGCCTTCTTGGCTTATAGGTGAGGAAATAGATCCTGTAAGCTAGAATGTCCTGGGGTCAAGGTCACAAGACGTTGTCAGTCAACACCCCCCTCCCTGAAGTCTTCCCCCCTACTCAGCCAGTTCTCCTTCACCCCTTTTGTACAGAGAGACTATTTCCTGAGGGGTTTCGGCAGAAGTCTCTATTCATGAGGCAGTGTCTTTTTCTCCACACCCGCCCCCCAATTTTGTCCACATCTCTGAGTTCTAGGCCCCTTTCCCAGATAATTTGATATCTTTGGTATCTATATAACTTTGCCCACCCATTTCAAATTGTGAATCTCAAATTGTGAGCAAATTTGATGGAGATAGGCTTCTCCCCACACGCCCCCCCCCCAAAAAAAACAGAATGAGAAAATCACTGTGATGATAAATGATTCATCAGCTGTTCAGAGTGAAGGTTTGGTATTTCTAGCAGGCAGCTGCCTCCCAACAGCAAGGAACAAGAACGTGTCAAATGACAAGAAGTTTCCTTTCTTCCTTGCTAGGAGCAAAATGAAATTCGCTTTCTCTCTAGCAATTGAGGCCGATTATCCTCATTTGTATTTGAAAGCAGGCAATGGCAAAGGATAGACTGCCTTTGTTCTTCTCCCCACTGGTCCATTTAAGAATATTTAACTGCAGTAGAATTTACAAGGATACCTGCTTGGGGCCAATATACCAGTTTCTGAGAGTGGTGTGCAAATATAATTTTTCTAATTGACTCATTTCTAATCCATTAGGGGAGCTCAGAATTTGAAGGATTATAGTGATTAATGTTTTTGTAAATTGAATAATCACCTACTAATTTACCTGTTTTTTCTAATCTGGATTTTCATCTATCACCTGCAATTAATTTTGATGTACAACACTGCCTTCAAGGCTTAATTTTTTTTAAAGTCCACCTAGAACTTTATTTAGAAAATCACATCTGGTAGAGGGAAATGCATACAGTGGGTACTTGCTAAATGTTTTAATGTATAAAACAAAATATTGGAACAATTTACAACCATGGAAGAAAAGTAGCCAGGAGTGGAATCTTCATTACACACATCTTTTCAAAAGTTGATTCTCTTTGGATAAGGTCTTTAACGGGTGGGGCAAATGCTGTTTGGCAACGCTCTGGACACCAGCCTGTACTTTATGGGTTCTTGAGTAGCTGTGGCTGGGAAGAACAGCAGTTTGGCTTCGCCCCACAGTAATTCCATTCCTGCTCTGTGCAAAACACTGGACTGAGCTCTCGTGAGCCAGACAAGGTGGTGCAGGCACAGGAGTAACATGGACACCAGTGCCACCTTAGTTAGCCCTTGATTTCTGAAACACCACCTTTGGGTAACACTGAGGCAGCCTGGATTCAGGGGTAGACCTGAGTTCTAGCTCCATCCACATGGCCTTGCTAAAATCACCTGACCTCTGTCTGCACGTAATTGTAAAATGGGGTGATTGTTCGTGCCCTGCCAACCTCCTAAGTTGTTATGATAGCAAGTACGAGCTAGCACTTTGTAAACGGAACAGTCCTGGCCTCCTGAGCGGGTTTGTTCTTACAGAATCCCTCTTTCTCTCTCTCTGGCTGGGTATGCGGCTTTGCTACGTGGCAGAAACCACAGAGGACAATTGGCCAACTCCTTCAAGTTGGCGGGAGGATTTGGCCAGGGTGATTCCTCATGGCTGCAAGGCCTGCCAAGGTGCTGGATCAGCCCGTTGTGGTCTGGGGCTGGCGGGGGCTGAGGCCAAGCCTCCATGTAACTCACTAGGAGCAAGGCCTCTCCCTGCCTGGAGGGGCACCGTTTCTTTCTTGAATCATCTTGGATCTGGGAAAAGGGAAATGCTCTTTCTTGTTCCCGTTCCTTTCTTGAGAGACGTTTCCCCACTTCTTTGCAGATATCTCTTTGCTCTTCAGCTCAAGAAGGACTTGGCTCTGGGACGCCTTCCATGCAGTGCCACCTGTGCTGCGCTAATGGCATCCCACATCTTGCAATGTAAGTAGCAAATAGTGCCTTTGGGGCTCTCAGCCAGCCCAAAGGAGCCAAGGACCGCCAATGTGCCCACTCTCATGTTAGACTTAGCAAGGAGAGGAAGCCTGAGTAAGACATACAGAAGCTGCAAGATCCAGACTAGGGAGGCCGGTCATTGCAGCTGTTAAGATCGGGATTCAAATCTACCCCGTTCTTTCTACCCCATTCTGCTGTCAACTTGCTTCACCTGCCTGAGTCTGAGTCTCCCAGGCTTTAAAACAGCAATGAGAAAACTTTCTCACAGAGCAGTAGGTCGCTTAAAAGTGAACGTTGATTTTCTCCCATCTCCATGCACCACCCCTCCCACTGCCCTGGGCTTGCTGTCAAGGAGTTGGTTTTTCCTGATCCTGGAATGGGCTTGGCCAACCGGCCCCCCCTTTCCCGCTTGCCCCAGGTTATGTTTCTGGTACGTGCTTTCTGTGGGACATTGTCACGTTTGATGTGATTTTCCCTGTTGCTCTTTATCAAGCTTCCAGAGAGCAAAGCATGGAGTAGAGCAGGTGGAGAGAGGCTGAAAGGGAAAAAGGCCGCAGGCATCTATTAGACTTCCCCAGAGCCCAGCAGTCCCGGAGTTGGACTAGGCTGAATAACAGAGGCAGGCTGGACTTTCTCTTCGAGGGGGACCTTCCCAGATTAGGCCTTTCTTAACTGGTCCTGTCAGATACTAGCTCCATCTTTGTTTATTTCATAAGTTTATTGTTTTTTTCCTCACCATTATCTCTTCCTGTAACAGGCCTGGTAGAGTAGATTGTGATTTCTCCAGGAACTCTCCAATGAAGTGCTTGCCTGGGAGGGTGTGTGGACTACAAGTTACAAAATGACTGCTTAGGCTAGATGAAAAGAGCCCCAGGAAATCAGGAAGGCAGTGGAAATGAGCACAGTAGTAATCATGGAAGGCTTATGGAGGAGGTGGCTTTTATGCTGGGCCTTTTAAAAAAGGATTTATTTATTTATTTATAAATTTATGCATACAGTACCGGGTACAGGTCAGAGTGTAGGGGTAGTGAGAGGTTTCACCAGAGACAGAGTGGGGAGCAGAGCAAGCACATCCATGAAGTACACTGCTGAGGGGAGCAGCGGGCACGTCAGGAGAGGCCTGCTGCACCATGTGGGTTAGCTCCCGGACTGAGGATTGAACTCGTGCTGAAGTGGCTGCAGCTAGCTTCACAGTGCTATGCACTTCAAGGCGTTGTACCACCAGGGAAGGCCCATGCTGGGCCTTAAAGGCACATGTAGGAATTCGATAGGCAGAGAAAACAGCATGAAAAAAAGATGGTGATCAGACAAGAAAAAGAATATAAAGAGGGTGCAACTCAACTACAGTCCAAGAATAGGGTCTGTTTGAGAGGTGGCATAAAACTAAGCATCAGTTTGAAGAGCCTTGAATGCCAAGGATACTAAGCATATGTCTAATTTCACATCTGGCTGAGTAAAGGAGATAGGTAAAGGGAATAGGGAAGACAACAGTGGACGTTACCTTGTCCACTAACTGCCTGTTAAGGCAGTGGTCAGGATTGGGGCTTCCCAGACAGCCTGTGATGGGAGAGCCTAATGACACTGTTTATGGTTCAGCGTTATGGATTTTGGCAATCCCTAGTGGCCACGGCAGACATAGCACAGAACACTTCAACTTTTCCAGAGTGTATTACATTTCATGAACATACCACATTTGGTTCATCTACTTACCTGTTGTCTTTCAGAATAATACATTAATTTTGACAGAATTCCACTTTCTCTACATGATCATGCTTTTGGTTTTGGATCTAAGAACGCTTTGCCCAAACTAAACTCACAAAGATTTTTCTCCTAAGTTTTCTTCTAATGCTTTTATAGGTCTACATCTTTGATTTAGGCCTAAGATCCATTTTGAGTTAAATTGTTTTGTATGCCTGTGTGGTGTGTGTTGTGAGGTAAGAATCCAACTTCATTTTCTGCATGTAAATCTCCACTCGTCCCACTTACTGAAGATTATTTCCCATTGAATTGTCTTGGCATGTTTGTCAAAAGTCAATTGTCCTTAAATTTAAGTGTTTTTTTCTAGACTCTCTATTCTATGCCCTTTATATGTCCTTATGTCATTGCCACATTGTCCTCTTATTTTTTGTAATTAGATTTTTTTTTTTATCAGCACATGGCAAGTTCATTGGGAGAACAAGGAAAGAGAAATACCCGCATACCTGGCGGGCTGTCTTAGAAGACAAGAGACTGTGATTTTGCAAGGGGTTAAACATCGGACACCTGCATAGACACTGGCGGGCTGTCTTAAAGAACAAGAAACTGCAGTTTTGCAACAGGTCAAGAAAGGGGCACCCGCATAGACACTGGCGGGCAGTCTTAAAGAACAAGAAACTGCAGTTTTGCAACAGGTTATGAAAGGGGCACCCGCATAGACACTGGCGGGCAGCCTTAAAGAACCAGAAACTGCAGTTTTGCAAGGGGTTAAGAATCGGACACCCGCATAGACACTGCTGGGCAGTCTTAAAAGACAAGAAACTGATGTTTTGCAAGGGTTTAAAAAAAGGACACCCGCATAGACACAGGCTGGCAGTCTTAAAGAACAAGAACTGCCTGCCATTTTGCAAGGGGTTAAGAAAAGGACACCCGCATAGACACTGGTGGGCAGTCTTAAAGAACAAGAACTACCAAATTGTTTTTAATTTTCTATTTTATTGAATACTGTAACTTCATCTTAAGTTTTGAAATAGGTAAGTATATATCCTTCAACTTTGTTCTTTTTCAAAGTTGTCTTATTTATTTTATGTCCTGTGCATTTCCATGTAAATATTAAGATCATTTGTTACTTTCTACAGTTTTTTGTTGCATTGGTTGCACTGAACTTATAGGCCAGCTTTTTCCCGGTTATATAGATCTTTAAATTTTTTCTCTTAGTTATGTTTTATAATTTTCAGTATACACATTTTACAATTTTGTTAAATTTATTCCTAAGTAATTTACTACTTTTGGATGCTATTGTAAATGGGACTGTTTAGATTGTTCTATTTTTAGATTATTCATTGCTGGAATATACAAATCAATTACTTTTTTATATTGATATTCTGTCTTGCTGCTTTGCTGAACTTATTAGTTCTAATAGTTTCTTATGGGTTCCTTAGGATCTTATATAGACAGGATAATGTTGATTACAAATAAAGACATTTTTATTTCTTTTCAGTTAAGGTCTTTATTATTTCTTCTTGTCTGATTGCAATGACAAGAATCACAGCACAATGACTGAGAGAAGTGGCAATAGCAGACATCCTGTCTTATTCCTCCTTTTAGGGGGAAATTTTTAGTCTCTCACCATTTTGCGTGGTTCTGATGTTAGCTATAGACTTTTCATACATAAACTGTATCAGGTTGAAGAAGTTCTGGATAAGTCCCATTTGATCAAGAGGTAAAATTATTTCTGGATTTGTTCCATTAGTATTTTGGTGAGGTTTTTTGTCTCTTTATTCATAAGAGATATATTTTAAAATGATTTATGCATACAAGAGCTGGGGTGCAGGCCAGAGGTGCAGGTGTCAGGGGGTAAGGGGATTCACCAGAAATAGAGTGGGGAGTAGAACAGGCAGATTGACTGAAATACACTGCTGAGGGGAGCAGTAGGCGAGACAGAAGAGGTATGCTGTATCACATGGGCCAACTCCCTGTCCAGAAATCGAACTCATGTTTCAGTGGCTGCTTCCTAGTGCTGAAACCTAAGTCTTTGCACCACCAGGTAGGCCCCTCATGAGAGATATTTAGCTGCAGTTTCTTCTCTTGTGATGTCTTCCTCTGGTTTGGTATCTGAATAATATTGGTGTCATAGAATAAGTTGGTAAGTATTCCTTCCCCTACTTTCTGGAAGAGTATGTGGAGAATTGGTATGTACGTCTTCTTTGAATTTTGAAAATTGAATCAGTAAAATAATCTGGACCTTACTGAGTTTTAATGAGATTTGTTTGGGCTTTTGTCAATATTGACAACAAACAAACAAACAAAGAAGCAAACTATTGATTTGGTCTTAAAAAAAAAAGCTGTAATAAGGAGATATTTTTATTATACTATGATTTTTGAAATATATGTATATATACATCTCACCTGTATAAAAATGAGCATGCCATCTGTCTATAAAACAGTGGAAACCAAGTGAGAAAATAGCGACTATAACAACTTTCATGCACTCAAAATTAGTATCCATGTATTTTGGATAGGAGACCACCATAGGACTTTTTATATGTTTATTTATTTATTTATTTATTTATTTATTAGATTTATTTATTTATTCATACAGAAC